TTACCTGCAAAATTCATTCTTCTGCCGATATTTTTTTCCTTTTCAATCATGGATTTACCGACTTTAATGGATGTCACAGTCATTTGTTTTCCCTTGCAATATTCTTCTCTTATAACATGGATTTGCATAACTCATTGTGCTTCACTGTATTTTCTGAATTTCTTGCTTGTGTTACTTAAAAAGGAGTATACAATATATTTTCTTACAGCAGGAGGCATTAACTTTCATGAGAAATCACAATTGTTACCACATCATCCGTAAGTACTCTCCAAAGCTACCACTTTCAGAAAATTTAAATAAAAGTCAAAGAACTGATTTTTAAAACAGTGATTAGCATATAAATCAAAAGAATCATCTCAGAATAGGACAAACTTCCAGGGCATGACATAGTAAGAGTTTACTAATAATTATTATAAAAATGCAGGGAGTCCGTTATAAATGGAGCATTCTTTATTAGATCTGTGCAACAATTACGTTTGAAACATGTTTTCAGGGTAATGACAATAACACATTTGCCATCACTTTGCCCCAATGCATGTACCTTCTCTGTACGTAGTGCTTTACCAGCCTAACAATAAAGAAAGTTCTTTGTATGTAGAATTTCACTTTCTTGTGAGGAAATTTTTATGTCCTTAAGAGCTCAGAGAAGGTCAGAACTTATGGCTTTATCCCAACAGCATGTTAGTGATCATCAAAAGAAATAAATCTCTAACTGTTAGTAGCTTCTAAAGAAATGTCTTTTATCCTACACCTGTGAAAATTACCCTGTGTTAGTGAAGCCAGCAAGAGTCAGGCCATAGGTCAAGGGTCAGGGCACTGTCAAGAGGAAGTTATTCTTCAGTCCACTAAGTCTTATCATTTTCATCGAATGTGATATGTACCTGTCAGTCAGAGAACGCAGGCTATTGTCTTGTTTTAAGTGCTGCGCTTTCAGCCTCAAAGAGAGCATATTTTATTACTTTTTTATAATTACCATTTTTTATCTTTAAAATGTTATCTTCCAGATAAACACACTGAACTGATAAACCGTCTCAAAGACTAAATATTTTAATACTAAAATCATAACAAGAAGTGATACTAAAAACAGAGTTCAGGTATTAGTGTTGGTTTGATTGATTTAACGGTTATATTATGAACTGAGTTTAAAAAATGATTTAACAAAATGAATAATGAAATGACTAGCAGTGGAAAAATAATGAATGGCAGAATAGCTTGACAACTTTATGTGGGTCTAAGTGAGTGTGTCCCTATGTGATGGCATGCTCACCCCGGATATTACAGACTAGTACAACATCCTCATAGCAAGGAGGTTTCAAGGATATAATGAAACATGTGATGAAAAATATTTTCATAATGCACTTCAGTTAAGTATACACAGTTGAATCTGCTTTTGCTACACTTGTATATAATGAAATTCAATTTCTAATGCAGTATAGTGAAAGACTCAGTTATTTCAGTGTAATGCAGTATGCAAATTGCAATTCCTCTTGTCATGAGATTCAACTCACAAGAAAAATTTGTGTTAGTCTTCCAAAAAAACAACAAAGAAGATATCTCAAAGTTTTAAAAAGCAGGTTACAAGTGACTAAGTTGGGCCATTTAGACCTTCTCTCTCATTGCAAGGAGAATAAATCACAAATACGTGTTATGCTATCCTTTGTATCCAGAGAAATCTAAAGCATATCTCTAGCATTTTATATCTTCCTTCAGGTAATTCCCATAAGAATAACATAGTGGAATGAAGAGGTATGGAAGGGAACTCAAGGAACCATATGCTTTTGCTTAAAGTCTGCTATTAGCCTGCTGAGTAGCATAAACCTCAGTTTCCTTAGCTGTCAAATGGGAGTAAGAGTGTTATTCTCAAGTCTATGAATTTTTAAAGTCTAAACAGTATCTTTTCCCATTATTTTTAAGAGATAGAAAAAAAGAGATAGCCTTACTTCTGTGCTCCTTACAAAGAGTTTTATCTTAGTTCCTAATAAAAGCATATATGTTTCACCCACATGGCCTTAATCTTGAGGACAGGAATTTATCTTCTTCATTTTTTTTACCTAATTACTTAGCAAAATGTCTGTTGAATTAATAAATGAAGAAATAATTCATAGGGTAGCTATATATCCTGCTTTATGCCTATTTTGCCTTTACACCTTTATGCCTGTTTAATTATTAATAGGCCTCATTCACTTTCAAGCATATCCCAGTTTGGATCACAAATATATGGTATTCATCATTTCCATAATGGAAGAAGAAACTACTAATGTCACCAATTTATTTGAGATCAATTAATGTCACTTATATTTCTCTTTTCTTTACAAAATAACTAATTTGTCTACCTTTCTATATCACCTGTATGTTTTAAAGTTTGGAGATTAATTTAGTGAACAACTGAAGCAATATATATGGGCTTCTACACTATTGCTATCTACTATTTAAATTGCTCTGCTTCAGACAATTCCGAGTTCCTTACACACTTAAGGTTATAGAGTTCTAATAAGTATAGACTTATTTGTAAATGGATCCCCCAGATTGCATCTGAAGGTCTCATATTTTAATAAGTATTATCTTAGGTAACCAACCCTCTGTGTTCTTTGTCATATTTATACATAAAAACTATCTATTAATGTATCTCCTGAAGAAAATAACCTTCTACAGTAAACAGAAATAAACAATATGTTTCAGCAGATCTTGTCTTTGAAATTACTAATTCTGTAAACAGGACACATTTGAGAGGGCGAGGATGGGATAATATGTTTTTGTCTTTATGATAATAACTGTTATAATAAATAAGATCTTAAAATATAAAGCATAAAGTTCAAAAATGGATATATTTGGGCCCTGTGTCTATATATGGATATCTGTTAGGAACATGACAATTTGTGATGGCAGCATGAACACTGATTATCCTAAGAAGACATTTCCAAATTCAGCCACCTTTTTGTCCAGCCTTGACATGTTTTTCAAACAATCCACTCATTTCTTTAAACATTCTATATGCTGATCCATCAAAAGCTCTGATAAAAGCATTGATGTAAAAACAAATCTAAACAGAGGGAGAAAAATACATGGTTTTGCAAGATATAACTGTTAGCTCTTAAAGAAAATAACATTTTCAACGTTTTATATTTCCAATTGAAATAAGAACCTATAATACTGCTACTAGTTCCATGTAGTCAATATGTATAACTCGATTTTTGCCTTTTGGGGTAATATGGAAGCAAATATTCTCAGATACCAACAGAGAAATTGACCTGACTTGGACACTAGGAGAGCCAGCTACCTTCTGTTTTATTTTAGCTTTCTTGTTTTATCTTCTTCATGTCATATCTAAGTAAAATTGGAGGGAAATGTCAGAAGAAACTTACAGGTGGGTCATGGCAATCAATTCTGATCAGCCACCAGCTGAAGCACCAGACTACAGTTATTGCTCTTAATAAGCATATCATTGGCAAAATGGAAAGGGAAAAATGAAAGCGGACCCTAGAAGTGTTCAATGATTTCTAAATCTTTAACATAATCACATTTTTCACCTTGTTTCAGGTCAAAAATAATACTGGTTGAGATGAGCAAAGACAGACAAGTAAAACTAGTGTTGATGACACTTCCTAGATTTCTTAAGATATCATAAGTTCTTTTAGCATCTTTCTATGATCACTCATAATCAAATCTGGATTCAACTGTTTCCAAAATGTTAGGAAAGCTAATAAAAACCAAGAAAAATATGAAGGAAAAAAATGTGCCTGTCTCTATGCCTGAGTTATGTGCAGTTAAGAAAAAATACAATAATTTCCGTGAAAAGCAAATGTATTCCTTGAAATGACCTATAAAGAGCTCTCTCCCTCTCTAAATTAAATATCTAATAAACCCTCTTTCCTCAATATGAAGAATTACTGAAATCCACCCAAAATAACCTTAATTAAATACATGGAGATGCATCTCAAAATCAATTCAGCTGAGCATGAAAGTAATAAAAGTAGAAACTTGATGACTTTAACTTGAATATTCTCTAAAGAATTAATTCAGAAGTATTCTAGTAGAGGGGGAAAATGTCTGAAATGGAGTCTGTTGTGATCGCTCGCAAATTTTGATTCCTTTATGTTTGTTGATGCAGGTGCTCTGATGCCTTTTATTATTGAGATTCTTAGTTGTGAAACTTTTTTGCTTTATATGTCTTCAGAATCCAGGTTGCTTTTAAGTGAAATTATTTATTTTGAGATAATTGTATGTTCACATGCAATTGAAAGAAATAATACAGAGAGATTCTATTCCCTGTTTTCCCCAATGCTAACATTTTGCAAAACTACAGTACAATATTACAACCAGGATGTTGACATTGACACTGTTAAGATACGGAATATTTCTGTCACCACAAGGATCCCTCATGCTGCCAAATATAACCACAACCACTTCCTCCCACTTCTACCCTCTCCTTTATTGCCAACCACTAATGTATTCTCTATTTTATAATTTTGCCATTTCGATAATGTTATATAAATGGAATTATAAAGTATGCTACTTTTTAGGATGTTTTCATTCAGCAAAATTACGTGGAGAGTCATCCAGGTTGTGGCATGTACTCATATTTCCTTCCTTTTTATTGCTGAGCAGTATTTCATGGTATGGACGTTCCACTGTTTGTTTAATCCATCACCTGTTAAAGGATGTCACATGTGCAGAACATGCAAGACAGTTGCATAGGTACACACATGGCAGTGTGTTTTGCTTTTTCTCCCCTTCACCCACATTTGGCATTTCTCCCCAGGCTATCCCTCCCCACATCCCCTTTTCCCCCCAATAGACCCCAGTGTTTAGTACTCCCCTCCCTGTGTCCATGTGTTCTCATTTTTCATCACCCGCCTATGAGTGAGAATATGCGGTGTTTCATTTTCTGTGAAAAATATGCACAGTTTTTTAATTCTTTTTTTTCCTTTTCTTTTTTCTTTTTTAGGGGAAAGCACGAACGCAGTTCCCCACTACCACAAATTATGCAGTCAAGTTTCCCACATTTGGGGAAATCGCAGGGGTCAGCACATCCGGAGTGCAATGGATTAGCCTCGCCCTGGGAAAACCACCTTCGTGATCATGCTATCTCCCCTGGCAGGTAAGTATGCACAGGTTTCTGTGTGAATATAAGTCTTCATTTCTCTGAGATAAATGCCCAGGCGTGCAATTGACAGTTAATATGGTAGTTGTATGTTTAGTTCTTTAACTGCCAAACTGTTTTCCAGAGTGTCTGTACCATTTCATAATCCCACCAGCAATATATGAATTATCCAGTTTCTCTGCAGCCTTGTTAACATTCAGTCTTGTCACTCTTTTATATTTTAGTCATTCTGAGAGGTTTATATGATATCTTGTATATTTTTCCATTAATAAACTTTATTTCTTAGAGAAGTTTTAGGTTAACAGAGAAAATAAGAAAGTACAGAGAATTTCCATGTGTCTCCTATCCCCTCACATGTACAACCTCCCTCACTATTGATATTCTACATCACAGTGATATATTTGTTACAGTCAATGAACCTACATTGGCACATTGTTATCACCCAGAGTCCAGAGTTTACATTAGGGTATACTCTTGGTGTTGGACAGAGGTATAGTAAAGAAGGTATAATGAATGCACTCATCATTGGTGTTGTACAAAAGTATAGTAACACAAATATAATGACACGCATTATCATACTTTATAATTTCATTGCCCTAAAAATTCTCTGTGCTCCATTTATTTCTCCACCCCACCTCTTAACCCTTGTCAGCCATGGAAATTTTTACTGTCTCCATAGTTATGATTTCTCCAGAATATCTTATAATTGGAATCACAAAGAATATAACCCTTTCAGTTTAGCTTCTTTTACTTACTAATATGCATTTAAGTTTCCTCTATGTCTTGTCAGGACTTGATAGCCCATTACCTTTTAGTGCTGAGTAATATTGCACTGTCTAGATGTACCACAATTTCACCTACTGAGAGACATGGTCGCTTCCAAGTTCTGGCAATTGCTGATAAAGCTGCTATAAAAAATGCAAGTACAGGCTGGGCGCAGTGGCTCACACCTGTAATCCCAGCACTTTGGGAAGCCGAGATGGGTGGATCACGAGGTCAAGAGATCGAGACCATCCTGGTCAACATGGTGAAACCCCGTCTCTACTAAAAACACAAAAAATTAGCTGGGCATGGTGGCTCGTGCCTGTAATCCCAGCTACTTGGGAGGCTGAGGCAGGAGAATTGCCTGAACCCACGAGGCGGAGGTTGCAGTGAGCCGAGATCGCGCCATTGCACTCCAGCCTGGGTAACAAGAGCGAAACTCCGTCTCAAAAAAAAAAGCAAGTACAGATTTTTGCGTGGACATAAGGTTTTTTAATTCATTTGGTTAAATACCAAGGAGCACAATTTCTGGATCATATGCTAAAAATACGTTTACCCTTCTAAGAAACTGCCTGTATTGAGAGGCTGAGGTAGGGGAATCGCTTGAACCTGGCAAGTAGAGGTTGCAGTGAGACAAGATTGCACCACTACACTCCAGCCTGGTAACAGAGCAAGACTCTGTTGCAAAAAAAAAGAAAGAAAAGGAAATACCAGTCTTCCAAAGTGACAACGCTATTTTTGTACTCCTTTCAGCAATAAATTAGAATTCTTTTTGCTGTACATCCTCACTAGCATTTGATGTTGTCAGTGATATAAATGATGGCCATTTTAATATATGTGTAGTGATATTTCATTGTTTTAATTTGTAATTTTCTTATGACATATGTTGAACATCTTGTCATATGCTATCTGTATATCTTATTTGGTAAGAGTTCATTCAGGGTGCTGTCCTTTGCCCTTTTCTTTTTTTCATTTTTTTCCCCTAGTTTCACTCTTGTTGCCCAGGCTGGAGTGCAATGGCACGATCTCAGCTCACTGCACACCTCCAACTCTCAGGTTCAAGTAATTCTCCTGCCTCAGCCTCCCAAGTAGCTGGGATAAAGCCTATTTAGTCATAGTGTATACTTTGTTTTATACAATGGTGAATTACATTTGCTGAAAATTCCCTTTTCAAAAATTGCTTGGGCATCTTAGAGGGAGTCTTTTTCTGGGTTCCCTATTCTGGTCCATTGATCTATGTGACTGTCCCTCTACCAATACCACACAGACTTAGATTATTGTGGCATTATAATAAGAAGAATATAAGAATAAGAATTATATTTTTATTATTTTCAAAATTGCTTTACCTAGTCTAGTTTTTTTGTTGTTGTTTTTAGACTTACACTAGTATTATTTATATCTACCAAAGGTATTGCTGGGATAGTGATAGGAGTTGGATTAACCCTGCATATTAGTTTGAAGAGAATTGACATCTACACTCTTTGATTTTCCCAATACACAAACACAGTACGTCCCTCCATATATTTAGATTTTCTTGATTTCTGCTGTCAGTGTTTTGCAGTCTTCATACAAGTTTTATAAATGTTTTATTAGATTTATACTTAATCATTTTATTTTGAGTGAATTTAAGTGATATTGTATTTTTAATTTTGATATCCTCATATTCAATAGTAGCATTTATAAATACAATTGCTTTTTATATATTTAACTTATACTCAACTTAATTACCAGGTTTATAAAAGTGGTTTTTGGTGGTTCCTTTGGAATTTTCTACATAGACAATCATGTCTTTGGCACATGGGACAGTCTTATTTCTTTATTTCTGATCTGTATTTTAATTTTTTTAAATTATGCTTCTAGAACTTTGTGAAATAAGAATGGTGAGAGCGGACACACTTGTTTCCAAAACTTTGAGAGAAAACATCCAGTCTTTAACCATTAAGCATAAGGTTAGCTGAAAGTATTTTGTAGATGCTGTTTATCAAGTCTGGGAAGTTAAGCCTCATTTCCCAGGATTCTCAGAGTTTTCATCACAAATGGGTATTAAATTCTGTTAAATCCTTCTTAAGAACCAATTGCCATGAACATGTTATTGTTCCTCTTTACCTCTTAATATGGGAAAGATTATATTGATTGACTTTTTGATATTGAACTAGTTCTGCATCACTGGGATAAAGCCTACTTAGTTGTAGTGTATAACTTCTTTTATACAATGGTGAATTCCATTTACTGATACAGTCATATGTCACTTAGTGACAGACATATATTCTGAAAAAGATGTGATATTAGGAAATTTGGTTGTGCAAACATCAGAGAGCCTACTTACACAACTAGATAATGGAGTTTCCTACACATCTAGGCGATATGGTATAGCCTATTGCTCCTAGGCCACAAACTTGTATAACATGTTACTGTACAGAATACTGTAGGCAATTACAGCATATTGCTAAGTATTAGTGTTTCAAAACATAGAAAAGGTAAAGTAAAAACTTGGTACTATAAACATGGGATGACTGTCATATATGCAGTCTGTTGTTCACTGAAACATTGCTGTGCATCACATAACTATATTTTATTAAGGAGTTTTCTATTATATTCATGAGGTATGTTGGTGTCTAGTTTTCTACTTTTGTCCTGGAGGTATTAGCTTCAAAAATGAATTGAGAAGTATTCTCTTCTCTTTGATTTTTTGAAAGAAATTATATAGTAGAAGTATTAGCAATTCTTTAAATATTTGGTAGAATTCTCCAGTGAAACCATCTGGGCCTGAAAAATTGCTTTATCAATTACAAATCTGATGTCCTTGTTAGTTATAGGGTTATTTACATTTTCAATGTCATGTGTGATAAGTTATGGCAGTTTGCATTTTTTAAGGAATTAGTCCCTTTCATCTAAATTGCCAAACACATGTGTATTGAATTTTTATACAATTCCCTGATTATTCATTTGATGTACATAGGATCTGTAGTAATGCTCCTGTCTCATTTCTGATATTGGTAATTTGTGTTGTCTCCCTTTTATTCTTTGCCTTACTCGAGGTTTCAACTGGGTTAACCTTTGCAAACAACCAGTTCTTTATTTTAAGAATAGGTCTCTACGGTTTTTCCTTCAATTTCATTGATTTCCACTCTTTATTTTTCCTTTCTTTTTTCTTTTCTTCCACTTGCTTTGTGTTTGTTTTTATCTCCACTGTTATATTCCTGGCTGAAGGGTTGGAGTGCTTCATTACTAAAACCACATGGATTGGAGGAAAAGGATGGAAAGATCTGACTAGGAGCAGGTGTATTAGTCCATTTCCATACTTCTAATAAAGACATACCTGAGACTGAGTAATTTGTAAAGAAAAAGAGATTTAATGGGCTCACAGTACCATGTGGCTGGGGAGGCCTGACAATCATAGCAGAAGGTGAAGGGCATGTCTTACATAGTGGAAGGTCAGAGAGAATAAGAACCAAGTGAAAGGGGTTTCCCCTTATAAGATCATCAGATCTCACGAGACTTATTCACTATCATGAGAACAGTGTAAGAAGACTTCACCCCATAATTCAATTACCTTCCACTGGGTCCCTTCCACAAAACATGGGAATTATAGAAGCTACAATTTAAGATGAGATTTGTCTGGAGACACAGCCAAACCATATGAGGGGGATTGCCCTGGTACCTCATTAAGGCAAAGTAGGCTTTCTACTGACATAATAGGGCGGGGTACAAACCAGGTTGGGGAGTGGGTTCATTACTGCTTGAGGGGAAGAGAACAAAAGTCTCAGCTCCCTACTGAGCCTTTTCTGATACCACTTTAGCAAGGGATTCCAAGTGCCTCATTGCAGCCTAGAGTGAGTGGCAATCTAGGCTCTTAGTTCAGGCTTTGCTGGTATAGGTAGGGTGCAGCCACAGTTTTTCCTGCTGTGTTTTGGCTGATGTAAAGCAGTTATTGTCTATAGTTTCCAGTCTTGCTAAACTGCCCATTCTCAAACAAGCACAGGCTTTTTTATTGGAGCTTTTTGCATCTGCACCCATTGGTATTTCCAGTTTACCAACTTCCTCAGTTCCAAATCTGAGATATGTGAAACAGAAACAAAAAATAGAAAACTGACTCTTAGTCCCAATTCAGTTTTCCGTCACTTTATGTTTGTATTTTATATAATGTCCAAGGTTTTCAGTTTTACTCAGGCAAAAGCCTATCTCCCTAAAAGTGAAAATCAATCAACATTATTTTTATAAATTATAATGATGTT